TATTAAGTAGAATTTGAAGATTGATTTTAAAAAGATACTCATTTTGGTGGACAAGGGCTGGAGTAATAGCACAGCAGGTAGGGTGTTTGCCTTGCATGTAGACCCAGGTTCAATAACTCCATTCCTCTTGGAGAGACTGGCAAGCTACCAAGACTATCCTGCCTGCATGGCAAGCTACCTGTGACGTATTCCATATGCCAAAAACAGTAGCAACAAGTCTCACAATGGAGACATTACTGGTGCCCGCTCGAGCAAATCAATGAACAACAGGAGGACAGTGCTACAGTGCAGTGCTACTCATGTTTTTAAAAGGTACCAGGTTTATATATTTTGGATTTTTATAAGAATTCTGTTTATATTTACTGATAGTATTTAAAGCTCCCTCATTCAATTTGTTCAGATTTTATTAAAATAAAACATGAGAAATATTTAAGTTCTAGGTTTAGTGAAAAATAAATAATGTGAGAACTCAAATCAGTATTATTTTTTTCACAGAATATGTAGTTATTCCTTTATTCATTTGTAAATATTTATTACATAAAATATAGTACCATTTAATATTTTATTCTTCATGCTTTATTATTTATTTTGTTTATACATATAGTGTGAAAACTCAGTTTCTTCATAAGTGTAGAGTCCCACATAACCAAACCTACTAGAATCATGAGTGTAATCCACACAAACATGAATAGTCATATGACGTTAGGTGTAAAGTATATTTGTGTGTGACTGTGTGTTCCTGCCAGCTACTTAGATCCAATAGCTTCACCTAGTTTTCTATTTTGGAGGATATGTACACATTTGTATGTGTGTGTATTTTTGTTTTGCTTTCCTGATTGCCCTGTAAAAAAGGTATTATAAATTCAGATATCTAAAAAATTGGTATGTTCAAAGGATTAGGGACAAGTCAATGGCAGAGTGCTTGACCTTCCAGGTGTAAGACCCTGGTTTAGTTCTCTGGCATTGCAAGAAAACAAAATTATTAAGAAAAATTATGTTGAATTCAGTTGTTAGAAGTATGTAATGTTGAAGTCACATGTACTTGTACATAATATAGGAACATATTTTATTTGTGTATTACATAACCTGAAAAAAAAAAGCCTAGCAGAATGTTAAAAATGTATGCCTGAGCTAGAGAAATAGTACAGCAGGTAATGAGGTATTTTTCCTTGCAGAAGACCCTGATTTTACCCCCAGGTACTACATATGATTACACTAGCACAACCAGGAGTGATCCCTGAGTGTAGTGGCAGGAATACACCCTGAGCATCATTACTCTATGGAACTGCTTAGGCAATAAATGTGTGCTTATAGATCATCAACACTATAGAGACACATATTATTTTAGTTAAAGGGATTTAGTGGTTTTTAGAAACTTTAATCCATAATTAATATTGAGTAACAATTATCAAAATATAAAAGAAACATTATCTTTTTAAGCACATGACTAATTAAGATAGAAAGTAGGCATTAAGCATGTATTTTTCTTCTAGGGGAAAAATACTATTCAATATAAAGTACCTTTACATATATATATACACATGTATATGTGTCTATTTGCATACATTCATACATACTCAAATACATCACAACACATTCACCATCTGATTAGCAATTCTAAACTGCCTAGGAACAATATAAAATAATACAAGTGTAAGAAATACTGTGTATGTAATAAGATAAAGGCTCAATCTACTTCAACTGAAGAGTAAATTCCAGGACATGATTTATGTGAAAGTGAATTTAACACCCTCTTTGATATATAAGGTGGCACTTGCCTTTTCTATAACCTCTGGCATTTGAGTCCAAGTTAATCATACAGTGTCCCGGTGATATGGCCACAAAATTAAACTTGACTTTCTCCATCACCTTTAGAAATCCCCCCACCAGGAACAAATTCCGTATCACCTGCCTGTTTGCAACCCATCTCTTTCCATCTCTATCCTGCTGACAGTAAATCCACTCACTGGCTAATTGAACAGATGCACCCAGTGCTGCTTCCTGAAGATCCACAAAGCTGGGCTTTGATGGACAGCAGAAATGGCACAATGAAAAAACAAAAGCCTTTTAGCTGAGAGCCCTGCTTTGTTCCGCTTAGAACTTTAAGGTCACTCCCGCTCATTCTGACTGTGGGGAGCTTAATTTTTTACTCCACCAGTTTACTTGCAGCTGTCATTCTTTCCAATATTAAAAGTTCAGCTCTTCTAGTATGAAGAATTTTGGTGAGGTGGGGGGTGGGGGCGGGGGGCGGGGAATGGAATAAGAAGAGCTCGTTACAAACTAAAAACAGCAAAAACAAGGAAAATCTGGCTTGGCTTTCAAGTACAAAAAGTTATTTTCAAAGCCTATAAATTATGACACAGTGATTAACATGTAATTTAAATATATTTAAACAACAATTATATCACATTTCCAGCCCAGCTAATTGGCCTCACAGATGTTCCCTTGTAGCTGCATTGCCCTTCCTGAGGAAATGAATGAGGTGCTGTTTTATCATGGAAAGAGAAAAAATGAAGAAAAAAATCACAGAATAAATGGAAACGGAAACATAAAAGCAGCCAGTAGCCCTGAAAACAATGAGTTTTTAAAGAGGTTTTGCTCATCATTCCTCCCACCACCCCCATTTTAATGACAAAAACTAGGAAGCACATGTAACAGACATTCCTGTTACTGAGATGGTATTTGGTAGTATGTGGAGAGAGAGTTGGCAGGTTGTTGATTGAAAGACCTGTCTCAGCAGGGACAGTGGGTGCATTCTAATGTGGCGTGGCCTCATATAATGTCTCCAAACAGAGTACAAAAGCTCTATTTATTTTTAATATAACATGCCTTTACAGTAGAAGATGGTCTGGTTCAGATAATTAATGTAGCTAATAAAGTATTCCTGATGAAAATGGCTTGTGAGTTACTTCTTTGATTACTTATCTCTGAAGTTCTAGAAAATGCAAAATGTGTACCAGTCAATGCTATTTCTGCAGCTGTGATTCTGTGATTCTAGTCTACTATTACCTAGTATAGCAATTCTTGCAAAGAAAGAGGTTAAAAACCAGTAATCTCTAAAACTTTGGAATACCTTGCTTTCTAATGTATTATCATGGAATTAAAATCAATTCACACTAGCCTATCTTGGCTCTTGTTTTTTATTCTAATGACGTCAGGAAATATTTATTGTACAGTATAAAATACAAAAGTTGGTCATGTCTTACCTACTAAATGTGTGATATCTGTAGTATTTACCAGAGTTCCTAGCTGTCATTAAAGAATTTAATAAATATTTGTAAAATGCTTGCTGAATAGTCAAGTTTAATGATAGGAGAGAACCAAGATTTATGTAAGGATAAAATTCCACCAAGCAACCAAGCAGTTGTCATATTTCCCTTACCCTGCCCCTGTTTTGTTTATCATTTGACCAAACAGAAAATTTCTTTTTTAGATTATGAACAAGAGTATTTGGTTTCAAACCTAAAATAATGAAAAATATACTGCATAAAGTGATGTGGAAAACAGACACATTTCAAATTTCCTCTTTAATAAATAGTTTTGGCATTTTGATGCATAGTTAAATCTTATATGCCTTCTATGTTTATACAATAGTATAGTTATTAAAATCATATGCATTAGCTTACTTTGCCTTCACTGGGAATAAGGCCAAGGGTAAAAATGGGGATATGAGCAATTGCCTGACTGACTACAGTGCTTGTAAATGAAACTGAAGATCCATGCATTTTATAAAACATACACAGCTTTTCTCTTGAACAATATGTATTTCTATGGATTGATTGTATAAGAACGAGATCTATAACTGTCCCCATGTCTTCAATGTATTGTTAGTTATGTTATTAGACAACAAATGTTCTATACTATCATGTAAGTCAGTTTGGGAGGGATTTAAAGTATAATCTCACTGTAGGAGTTCAACATTTCTCCTTAGTGCACCTAATAGACTGAATTATAGGGGATTGTATGATCCAGTTGCTATATAATTAAATGGTTAACTCTCCATCAAACCTTATTCTTCTTCAACAGTTTTTATTTAAACTTAGAGTATAGAAGCATTGACCTGGAATAATGTTTAGTTAATTCCATAGATACTTCAAGATATTACTGATTTTGAAGTTTATTTTCTTCATCTCTGTTTACGTAAAGCCAGAGGGTGGAGAAAATGTGCTTCATAAAATCAACTGGCTTTGTCTACATTATTCATTTTTTCCAGTGCCTAGAAAAGTATAAAAATTTTTGTTATACATAAAAAGTATATTTTCAGCAAATGTGTTTAATGACTGCATGACTTATATAACATATTCACTTAATATGCAATATATCATATACAAATTTCTCCATATAGTAGGTATCTATATATGTAATCATTTACTGAGAAACAGTTGGCATTCATATATCCCTTTTTATCTTAAGAAATATTGTCTTTAAAATTTAACCATAGTTTTTCTACTTTTATTTATCCAATAGACTGGAGTATTAATCTCTAAGAATATATATATACATATATATATTTATAATAGAATGCTAGGATATTTGCCCTTTTGCTAAAATAAGAAAACAACTAACTTTATAGCAAAATTATTCCAGCAAATTCAAATTGACTTTTGTTTTCTACCTAAGTTTCATCATATCAGTGAAAGTTAGTTTTGTTGTCATTTCCAGGGAAAATATTCTTCACTTATAACTAGATACTGGTTACCTATGTTTGCCTTTATTTTGTAGTTAATTAGTAGAATATTTATTGCCATCTAAAATTTTAATCCATTTTATAATTTTATCTTCATATAATTTCTTTCTTTCTCTGGGGATTGACTTAAAATATCCTCAAAACATAAATAAACCCACTTGCCGTAAAATGCATAAAGCTTTATTTTTATCAAACATCACTGTTGGGCATGTTTTTCCTTTTGGTTCATACAGCTCATGTGACTTTTCTTTCCTTTTTTTTCATTCATGTTACCTCTTATTATATCCATCATTCCATTTTTCTTTCCTATTAGAGTGAAATTGGACACAGCCCTCCTCCTGCCTACACCCCCATGTCAGGAGTAAGTATTTCATGATCAACCTTCATCTTTTAGGATTTTTTGATCTTTGCTTATCATGTTTCCTCTCTTGTCTCCCCATAATTTCCTCATTTTGCCTTTGCCAACAGTGAGCTAAGAATTTGCTGTAAATTATATAGCTACCATTGTGAATGGGCTTTTCTCTTAGTAGATAATCCAAAGTTGAAATATAATGTATAAAATTTAGCTTTCAATTTTTTCCTGAAGAATTTACCTAGGCTCATAAATTATGATCCTGGACAAGGAGGTTATTGTTATTGTTGCTTCTATGAGTATGGGTATTATGGTTAAAAAGCAAGACTTCTCAGTGACCTGTGGAGCATAGCTTTTAACAAAGCATTTGTTATGAAAATTCAATTTGGATTTGATATCAAAATAGGCAACTGTAGGAAAAGAACATAAAAAATATTATATCGTATGTCAGGTGGTTAGTAAAATAAATAAAAAGGTAAAGGTAAAGGCCCTTCCGTTGATCATCGATTTGCTCAAGCGGGCCCAGTAACGTCTCCATTGGAGACTTTGTTGCTACTGTGTCTGGCATATCGAATACGTCACGGGGAGCTTGCCAGGCTCTGCTGTGCGGGCGAGATACTCTCGGTAGCTTGCCGGGCTCTCGAGAGGGGCGGAGGAATCGAACTCTGGTCGGCCATGTTGGCCGCTTGTAAGGTGAACGCCCTACCTGCTATGCTATCGCTCCAGCCCTTCAAATTGTTTTACATAACTTACATTTTATGAAAAAATGCATTTTTAAATACTTCTAGTCTGCAACTTGATTCATTAACCATTATAGGAAAAAATTGAAAAACAAGCAGATTTTTCTCTGACACTAGCTTCCATGTCATTTTGTTTCTTGGCCTTATTTTGTACAACTATACCTCAAAATAATTTCTGTCCAAATGTGTCTCTCCTTTGACAGAACCAGTTTGTATACCGAGATGGGGGCTTTGCTACAGACCAAGGGGTACCTTTGTCCTACCGAGCTACCACCAGCACGATTCCAGAAGCTCCAGTTGTTCAGGGTGCTTCCGCTGAAATTTTTGATGACTCCTGCTGTAACGGAACCCTCCGCAAGTCAGTAACACCCCATGTGCAAGAGGATAGCAGCACCCAGAGGTACAGTGCTGACCCCACAGTGTTTGCTCCGGAAAGGAACCCACGAGGAGAGCTGGATGAAGAAGGTTACATGACTCCTATGCGAGACAAACCCAAACAAGGTACATATAGAATGCTCAGAAATAATAGACATTGATAGTCACAGTGTGTACAAGCAAAACACAGAAGGAAAATTACCAAATCACTGTTGTGTAAAAATTGACACCCCCAAAAGTTCTAGGTTTCTATTTTGGGTAGGATGATTTCTGATTCAATACAATCAAATCAACTAGAAACCTTATTAGAAATTGTAATCTGAGAGAATGTTCATCTAAATAGAAAACTGCACTGTTATAACATCACTGAGGTGACTTACTCATAAACAAGTCTGAGAAACCCAAATATGTTTTTAATTGGAATACTTGAATGGGGTATCTATCACATGATTTTATTACTGTTGTTTTATTGAATTTACTCTGAGAAACAGAAAGATCTATATTATTAACAAAAGTGTCCAAAGATTTTTTAATAGCATCAAGGAAAGATATGGTTGATTCTTTAAACTGCTGCCATTTAAATAACTTAAAAAACTTGTTATAAGAATTTAGAATATCTTATATGATATATACATAAAATTTAAAACCAAACGGTGAATATATATAAATGTATGCATTATATGTTGAAATACTCAGTTTTTGGTTTTATAAAGCACAGCAATATCTTTCCACTATAATAGAATTTTTAAGCATTCATAAAAAGAGCATTTTATTTTTAAACAGTCTCTTTCTACATGAATATAATCATAATAAGATGATTATTATTAAAAACTAATCATCAGTAATCTTCAGTGTTATCTCTAAGCTATTAAGATTCTATATTAGAGATCATGTATTCTTTAGTATATCTTCTTTTATAAAATAAAATTCAAGTATTACTAAACATATACTGCAAAACCCTATTAAAATATATGATCTATATTATTTTATATTATAATAATATAAAATATTTAATGTGTGCCCAAAGTAAAACAAGCGTAGGCTTCACTACTCTCATCCCTTGAAAAATATCTAATTGACAAGAGTTATTTCTATGTAAATAATTGCATGAATCTCCAGGTTTCTCTTTTAACTCTGGATTAGTGATCACATTGAGAAGTGTCTATGTAGAACTCACGAGAAAAAAAAAGTCAGTCTGTACACATTCACTGCAAAATATATCCAGATATTTAATATCTGAAAACTAAGTTATATGTATCTATTGCTTACTAGTTCTAAGTACAGAATTCTACTGTAACTACTCCTGCACTTCTGATTAAAACATTTTGTTGGAGTTGGGTAGGTAACTTAAAGGGTTGAATACTTTGCATGCAGTAGGCTGTTGTGAATCCTTGGCACTGCATGTTTCCACAAACACTACTGGGGCGTGAACTTTGTGCCCCACCAGATATAACCAATAAGAGAAAAGTTTTGAAATTCGGTCATTGCCACTATCACTAGCCTCCTGTTGTTCATTGATTTGCTCAAACAGGCCCAGTAACATCTCCATTGTGATATTACTGTGTTTGGCATATCGAAGATGTCACAGGTAGCTTGCCAGGCTTTGTCATGTGGGCAAAATACTCTTGGTAGCTTGCCGGGCTCTCTGAGAGGAGCGGAGGAATCGAACCCAGGTCACCCAGGTCAGCTGTATGAGAAGCAAATGCCCTATCCACTGTGCTATCACTCTAGCCCATGGAAAGAAAAGATTGAATTATATTTACCTTAAAAGATTTTTATACATTTTTATCTTAGGGTGACTGGAACTTTAAAATTCAAATTAAGACTCTTTTGTGATGTGACAGCTTACCCTAGTTTGGTATGAACAATAATATAAACAGTATGGGAGAAGAAGCTTTCTCAGTAGGAATTGAATGTCTTAATTTTATTCCAAATGTTTGTAATTTATATAAGATTTAATTTGAGCTTTATATCTATAAAAGTGAAAAACTATGACTATGCTTTTCTTATCACAAGATTAGTATAAGGATACAATCTATATATATATATAGGGTGATGAAATTGTCTTTAAATTTTTTTTACTGGAATACAGTGATAAATATTTAACTCATCCATCGGCCTGTAGGAAAATAATCCTGAGTTGTTATTAGGGTAAGTAGAGAAAGTGGAGCATTTGTTTCTGAATGGTATCATCTCAGAAAACCACTATGTCATTTCCATGCCCCAACATCAAAATATGACTAAAGCATAAAGACATTCACATCTATGTATTCAAAAGAATAATATTTTCTACCATATATTTATATTTATATATGTCTATAGTGTATAATAAGTGACATAAATAATAAGATTAAATTTGAGCAGAGCAGCATAATTAGTAGCTTTTAAAAACTTAAGTTATTAATATGCAAGATCAATTTATTAAATAAGCTATCTACTCTGTGATTAGTTTAAAACTATGAAATGCTAATTTTATATAATTCCAATGATAAATTCCTGTTTTGTGAAGATTATTGCTCATTGGAAATGAAGTGGTGGACAATTATTGTCTGCTTTTAATTATATATGTTGCCAACCAAGTCAATACAAAGTAATATTATATGTCTATATATTGGCTTCATTAATTTATTATTTTCTCTAGACTGCTCCTTTTCCATGTGATGTGTTAAAGCTTTCTGGTAGGCATCTACCAAAAACACTAAACAAACAAAACAAACCTTGTCTTCTATACAGACAGTTGTAATGGTTTCTTATAGATTAGAAAAAAAATTATATAAAAGAATCTGAATATAGATTTAAGCTATAGAAACTACTGGTAGGATACCCATGATGTATTCAATACGCCAAAAACAGTAACAACAAGTCTCACAATTTGTTGTGAGATGTTACTGGTGCCCACTCAAGCAAATGGATGAACAATGGAGAACAATGCTACTGTACTACTGTTCTTTAAAAAGGTCTGATTTTTCTGTAGTTAAAGACAATTTACCCTTGCTAGGTTGTCCTATCTACAACAAAAATGACTGACTTTTAAAAAATAGAAACCTGTCTAGGCCACATTAATAGAGATAAACACAATTTGAAGGAAAGAAGATTCATCTATAGAAACTTTTGATCCAGGCCTTACTGATACCTGGTTTTGACACTTTCTTGGCCCACATAACTCCTTTACATATGTATGTGAGCAACAGGAATGGAAATATTTTGTGAGTGCTCATGAAAAGCAAATGCGTGTGTCTTCATTATTCTAGTCAGAACAGATGACCACCCTATAAAACCTTCATCCGAGTAACTGTTTCCCAAAGCAGGTGCTAAAACTACTATATTTTTGTATTTTTCCCAGAATACCTGAACCCTGTGGAGGAAAACCCTTTTGTTTCTCGGAGAAAGAACGGAGACCTTCAGGCTTTGGATAACCCTGAATATCACAATGCTTCGAGTGGTCCATCCAAGGCAGAGGATGAGTATGTGAATGAGCCACTGTACCTCAACACCTTTGCCAACACCCTGGGCAACGCTGAGTACCTGAAGAACAACATACTGTCTGTGCCAGAGAAGGTCAAGAAAGCGTTTGACAACCCCGATTACTGGAACCACAGTCTGCCGCCTCGGAGCACCCTTCAGCACCCAGACTACCTGCAGGAGTATAGCACAAAATATTTTTATAAGCAAAATGGACGGATCCGCCCCCTTGTGGCCGAGAATCCTGAATACCTCTCTGAGTTCTCCCTGAAGCCCGGCACTGTGCTGCCTCCCCCTCCCTACAGACACCGAAACACTGTGGTGTAAGCTCAGCAGAGGTGTGAAGGTGGAGAGACAGGCCCACTCCCAGGTCCCTGACCCTTCTCTTTCTCTCCCGGTCTTCCTTCTTTACCTAAGGCCAGTCGTTTTGATGCTTTCCAGTGGAAAGCAGAAAACTGCCGTAAGAGTCGTGTGCTTAGTTAACTTGATCATGAGAAGGATGGACTGAAAGAGAAAGGCAGGGGCAACCACACTTGTTTCTTCATTTCTCTGCATGGGTGGGTCAGGAGACTGCAACAGCTAGAGATGGCCAGCAAATACAAGGCAGTGCTGCCTGCTGTCAAATTAGTTCTCAACATTTCTGTCTTTCATTGATTTCCCCCTAATATTTTTCTTTTAATACAGATGCTTGTAAGAACACGTGTTCTGTTCCTTTCCATAGGAACTAATGTACATACTTAAGCATCTCTGGAAATCCTATTAATTTTCATTAAAACAAAAGCATATATGTGTAAATATTTCATGCTAGTTATTGAGATTAAGAATCAAATTTCCAAATAGTTTTTATCTGGACAAACTAAAACTGGTCAACTTTCATGATGTTTGACACCCCATCTAATGATACTAGTTATGCTTGGAAGGACTTTTTGTTTGTTGGTTCTTCCCTATTATCTTTGCTTTGGTCTGCCCATATGTATCTCCCATTTTTGGCTTTAATTCCCAATTGCAAATCTTTTTACTTCAGAGTTTCTTCTTGTGTTGCTATAAATTTATAGGTTTAAAAAGAAGTATTTTCTAGGATGATTGACCACAATTTTAAATATGGTCCATTGAAGGGGAGGCCAAGACATAACCCATATGTAACAACACATCTAACTTTCATGTTTTACATGATATCGTAATGTACATTTCTTTCATTATTTTCTATTCTTTGACACATTCTTTTTTAGAAACGACAGTACTTGATAGGCAGTTAGTAAAGTTAAAAGTAGATGAGAATCTAGCAGTTTTGTGTGGTGTATGAAACTACTGAGACTCTCAGAGGTGTCCAATGGGAATCTCTTGAACTGGAAGAAACACACTGGATTGGGTATGTCTACCTGACAAATGCTCAGAAATGTAGTTTGCACTTAAGCGATAATTTTATTACTTCACTTTCTGAACTCCATTTTTTGGATATTGAATGAAGCAATATGGAAGAAACCAGCAAAATAATTTAAGAACATTTGAAAAACAACAGAGCTAAACTGTCAAGAAAATACTTTGGAAATGCCAAAACAAGCAAATTAGGACTTTGGAACAATATACAGGGGTTGTTATAAAAGGCCAGCACAGTATCTACACATGATACCACTTTTGCTGCACAAGGAAAGTTATCTAGTTTGTATACTCTGTAATGGTGAAATGTAAGAATGCATTAGCTAAAAATTCATGGAATTTCCAGTATGAAACTTAGTCACATCTACTGGAAGGCAACTCTGCACATAAATTGGTATATTGAAGAAAAATATAAACTCATAACTTATAGATAGGTCATTGGGTCTGATGTAGTAAAAATACATAAATTTTTTCAGGTAATTATGTTAGTATTCATCATACTAATCTTTTGATAATTTATATATATTTTCAATACAGCATTCAGTTCTAGAACAGTATGTATTATGTGTTATTGCGGGTGGAAATCATCTTTTGAGTTCAACTAAGTTATGGGAACAAGTGGCAAAAATAAATCTCCAGAACTTAGTAAGGTAAAGGCCCTCCCGTTGATCGTCGATTTGCTCGAGCGGGCCCAGTAACATCTCCATTGGAGACTTTGTTGTTACTGTGTTTGGCATATCGAATACTCTCGGTAGCTTGCCAGAACTTAGTAATCATGAAAATTTAATAGAGGTCTCTTTTCTATCAAATTAATTCCCCATTTATTAATTGCTTTATAATATTTTCTACTCTTTAAGTACGATGTCAATTTGAGTCTCTGTTCTGAAGTAAAACCAAGTAGATCAATAATTGGTAAAAAAGAAGTTTAGAGGGAAAATGAAGAGAAATCTATTTTGGAAACACATTCATTATTCATTTACACCGTTATTTTTTCAACTGACACTATATAGAGTCTACTCGAAACAATGTTACATGGGTAACACCCAGATAAATGCAATCCAATATCAAGCTTAAAATTTGTATTACCTGGACTTATTGGAATGACATTTAAATCTCTTCATGAATTCAAGGCACACATAGCATGATCTAGTCTGTGAGTAGTATAAAATCAGCTGTTTTTAAGAAGATATCATGTGAACTCATTTAGAATATGCATTAAATGCCTAAAAGTTATTGATAGTGACAGATAGGAAGTTTTAATGTCATTATCCAGACACAAACTGATCTAAAAGGATATTACGTCTCTGACAAAGTAGCAAATCTGGTTTCTAACTTCAGACTCTTAAATCAAGAGCAAATACTGGTTTGGACTAAGAAACATGGAGATACAGGGATTGGACCCTGCATAAATTCTGAGAATTGTGGAAACTAAAATAGCGAGCTAGAGCAAGGGAGGGATTTGTGAAATTCCATCTAGTGAAGTTCAACCATGAACTTCTCAGGGTTTATGGTAGTTCATAGAATAACAGTTCTGAAATCTTCCACAATTCAAAAGAATCTTCAGAGCAAACTGACATCATATTGGAAATTATGAAAATTTGGAAATAAATCTCATTGTCTATAAATTGGTACTAGGTAATAATAGTCAGCACCCTTGATAAAACTTCTGATTAAAATATTCATGTGAGTTTTGCCATAGATATAAAACAGTATGGCTTATTTTGATTAAGGGAATGAAATAATTTTTTCATAAAAGCAATAAAATATATATTTAATAAATTTGGTTTCTTTCATTCTAAGAGCATAGGTCTCTTACACATAAAGTAATATCTCATTAATAACAAAAGATAGATCCAAGTATAATTCAAAGCTTCATAAGACTCTATTTTTCCTTTGAATTCTGTAATACATAATTGATTTCAGTTGTTTTAGGATTTCTCTTTTAAGTTATTTTTGTCTTTCTACTACAAAAACATATTGCAGAATGTATAAGGGAAGAAAAGATTTGGTCCTTCCAAAATATATTGTATTCTACACAGTAGAGTGAAATAGAAATATTAAAATCAATTAAATCCTATTAAATACTTTGTAATATAGGATTCCAAAGGCTGGTGGTATGAATGCAAATATCCTAATCAACTAAACAAACTTGTGGAAACTTAATATTAAAGTTACGCAGATTGTTTTAAATCAGCAAATTCTGTGGCTTAGACAAACCTTGGGGTATCATGAAAAATGTCTCATCTTATTTTTTTTAAGAAATACTTATTAAACAGGTAGAAAAAAAATCTCCTTTAAACCAGTTGCAGTCCATAACTTCAAAGCTGTCTGCATCACAGAACAGTGCTTAGAGAGATGAGCAATGGTTAGGTTTCTAAATATTAGTAATACAGTTTAGGTTTAAAGTTCTTTCAAAAATTAAATTCTTGAAAATTTCTAAATGCTAATGCAACACTAAATTTTTTTATTAAAATATACAAAACTGAAAATATGAAATTCTTAGTTGATCAGAAAAAAGGACTAACTATGTATAACCTGAGGGAAGAGATAGTATGGTACATGTTATAATGTGTCTTAAGGTATGAATACCTTCAAAAGGCAAGGCAAGGCACAATGTATCTATATTTCCAATGAGGAAGACAAACTAGTAATAAGACTGTGAGGTTTTGCTGCTAGATGAAGTTGAAGAGGTGATTCAATGTGCTTCTTGAAGTGTCAAAAGTGAAAAGAAAAATAAAATCATTGAAGCCTGACAGGGAAGGATGTAAATAGAAGTTTTTTCTAGAGCTATTTAACCCTTATTTCAAAACTTGAATTATTCATTCATTTATAATTGTTGATTATTTACCTAGTATAAGTAGTTCATAAGGTCATAGAAAAGGTGATCATGAAAGCATGTATATACCTGGGCAGAGCTATGATAATGCTGTAAGTTGTAGATTTAGTTAGGTTCTTAAATGATTTAATATTATTAAAGAAGTCAAAATAGAAAATCAACCACAAAAATATAATGTAATAAAATAAAATCCAGAATATGAAATATAGGATGGATTATGAATAGTGAAAAATAAGTTTGCCTTTTAAAGTTGTTATTTGTTAGGTTTAGCTGAACGTAGGCATATTAAGAGCTGGTTAAACTTGTGAAAACTTGCTTTAAAAACATTACAATGAATTTTTTCTCATTCTCTTATTGCTTTACTATTTTGAAGTATATGATACATAAGAAGTAATATTTTAAACTGATTTTGCAAACACCACCTTGTAGGGCTTAACAGGCAAGTACATTATACTTGACTTTAAGGAAGAGGATTTTAGAATGAAGTGAAGGAAATAAAAATATCCCATTACCTTATGCAGGGACAAACTAGAGGTAGTGGCATTTAGTAAGCCAATAAATTGCCTTTAATTTATGATATATGTTTCCTTTTTCCATAATACCGTCATGTATAAAAAAAACCCTAGTTATCAATATTCTGACAAATGCTAGATCAAACATTTCAAACTGCTGTTTATTCATTATTTGAGTTCTAGTTCTAGATTGGTCATTTAACACCAAATGAGAACAAATGAGAAATCCAGGTGTCTAGGCTTCTAGTTGTTATCTACCAGAAAATCTAACTTCCACTCTATGTGCTATTGGCAGAGAATTCTGCTGTGCTCTCTCTCTCTCTCTCTCTCTCTATATATATATATATATATATGTGTATATGTATATATATTATACCTTACAGGACAGTTTCATATCCATAAAGACATATAAAACAGACTCATGTTCCCCAGTTGCCTAAGAATGAAAAACAATACTTAGATCTAAAGTGAGTATAATTTTAAAATAATATCAGTGGAGATATTGATACTTGATACTACAATGGGGCTATCTTTGTTCTTCTGCATCAAATCAATACAGTTTTTCTAGTCCCAGATATACATTTGCTGAAGTAGGTCTCTCCACAGTGTGATCATGAAACTTGCAGACACCATGT